GGCGCTGTGCTGCAGGTACCTCGAAGACGAAGCTGGAGCTATGGCGCTGCAGGTAAGTCTCCCTGGCCTCCGCCCAATCTCTCTCTCTCCAGTACTACTCTAGCTCCTACTAGCGCCCGGCGCTGAAGACTACTGCTAATGCTACTACTACTACTGCAGCGCTCCTCCAGAGTGCTGCTGCTGAATCCTGAAGACTACCTCCTGCCTCCTGAACTGCACGTGAAGTGCCTGGGAAGTCCCTATGAACTACCTGCAGCCTGCAGGGCAGCCCAGTCCTATATAGTGCTGGCCTGTCCAGGAGGCTGCTCTTGCCAATGCCAAAACGTGCCAGACCCTGGCGTTGAAACTCAAACAAGGGTTGTCTTGAAAACAGGCCCAAAATGGCCTGTGCTAAAACCCTGGTCTGGTGCCTAAGTTTCAGGGCTGGTCGATCTTATGAGGGCCTGAAAATGGCCCTCCGTTTCAGCTGAAAAGACTCAGGGCCTGGAGGGCCCTGTTTTAGGCTGAAACAACACAGGGCCTGTAGGCCCTTGTTTTCAGGCTCTCATGCTGAAACGACACAGGGCCTGTAGGCCCTTGTTTCCAGGCTTTCAGGCTGAAAACGTCACGGGCCTGAAAATAGCCCGTGCAGCCTGTTGCAGGCGCAGCATGTCAGAGTCAGAGTGAAAGTCAAAGTCAAAGTCACGTAAGCATGTCAAGCGGAGAGGAGACAGAGATGAGAGGAGGTCTCTGCAACTCTGGCAAAACCAAACTCTGACAGAACTGGCCAAACTCTGTATCTCTGACGAAACCGATTTCTGACAGAGCTGGCAGTGTTTCTACATCGTCTCGGGCAGGACTCCTTGCATGCCAAGATTCATTGAATTTCATTCCATTCCACCTCTCGGGTGCAAACTTGTGCCAGACCAAGTGGGAGAGAAAACACTTGAAAGTTGAAACGAAGTTAAAAACTCCCTGCACTGCCTAATAAGGCGAGTTTTGGTGTAGTTTTGGCATCGGAAAACAAGATTCTGTCACACTAAGGGGATTAGACAAAAAAAAATAAAAAAAGTCCGAAAAATTATCAAAAATACAGTTTGAAAGTCTGAATTTCCCCTCCCTATACTCTTAAAAGATGCAAAGGTCCCAGCGTCATGCCCCCCCCCCCGTGGTCCCACGAGAAACCGCCGGGGGGGGCGGGGGGGGRGGGAGGGAACCGGAGGGCTGTTCGGAGTCCCGCGGAGCCCGGAGGCCCATTTGTTTCAGCGTCGTTCTCTCCCATCGTTCGAATCCAGAGGGTGCTGACTTTTGTTGTAGTTGCATGGGGCTTCCCCCATTCGTCGTTCCGTTTTCGATTTTGTCGGCACATGGACAAAACACAGCAAATATAACCATCCCAGCGGAAGTACGGCCGTCCCAGCGGAAGATTCACTTGGTGAGTAATGAAGCGAGGCCCCTGGACCTTGATCTTAGTTCAGTTTTTGTTTTGTTTTTTTTTCCCTTTGAAACGTACGTGCATGACCCGTCGTTGCTCCGTTACTCACCAAATGTGCCACGTGAGAATGAATCTTCCTCTGGTGCATGGAAACATAGGGCCTGGCTCCACTATTCTCGAAATGTGCAAAACGAGAGTGAATCTTCTGGTAGAACATGGAAAGATACGCCGCCATGATTTTTATCTTTTGTGCATGTCGAGAGCAGTGGAGCGAGGCGAGGCCCATACACCGCCATAGGGCATCGCCACACCACTCTCGAAATGTGAACAAGACAAAAATGTGGCACGGGTGCATCTGGCCATGTTCTAGCGGTAAGTTCATTCTCATTTTGCACATTTCGAGAGTGGTGTGGCAACGCCCATATTTTCTATCTTTTATGAATGAATCGTCCGCTGGCACATCGAAAGATAGACTGCCATATTTTCTGTCTTTTGTGCACGTGCAGAGTAGCAGAGCGAAGTGGTTTTTAGGACATCACGTGCACAAAAGAAAATACCACAGTGTATCTTTCCAGGTGCCAGCGGACGATTCATTCTCGTTTTTCACATTTCCTGGGTAGTGGAGCCGGGCCCTTCGCCGTGCCATTCAGCTGCATGGGCTGAGCTTTTCCTTTTTTTGTTTTGTGGGTTTTCTTTGGGGGGGCGGCAGAGGGGGAGGGCGCTCTTTTACCAACCCACGCGGGTCACCCACCTACAAAGCACCGCGCCTGCGTGTGCCCTGAGAGTTGATTGCCTGCTTTGTGGGGGGGGGGGTGTGTTTTTTTCTCTTTTCCCACCTGTGTGCCGCGGCGGACATCCGCTTGTTTACTTAAAAAAATACAACCAAAATTCCAGTAAGAAACCACAACACAAACTCTATGTCGCATTAAACCCGAAATGGGAGTGGTAGGGAGGCAAAATATATAAAGCTGGGGTAAGTGAACTATGACCCTTCACTACCCCTGCCCGCCTCCAACACCCAAGGGACTACTGGCGGACACCCTTAGGACTTCTAAGCACGGTCAAAAGTGCCACTTTGGAAGAAGAAGAAGAAGAAGAAGAAGAAGAAGAAGAAGAAGAAGAAGAAGAGTTTGAAAAAGCCGGGCCAATCGCTCATCGTCTATGCTTCCAAAAAGAGCAATCAAGCACCTGCACAGGCATGTCAAGCTCGTAAAATGCGCACATTCCCCGACGCGTTTTTCGTGTTTACCATTTTCACCAAGTGAGTATGCTCACTATTGCCTGGCTGTGCTTCAGGACTTATCAAGGGGCATACCACATTCCCGCATCCACGTCACCGTCCACCCGAGCAAGCAAGAAGGAGGAGGAGGAGGAGGAGGAGTACTCTGTGTGCAAGTGTTTCTCAGTGTAGGTTTTGTCTGCAGAGAACAGCAGACCAATCAATACTTTGGAGGGGGGGGGAAAGGAAAAGAAAAAAAAAGGGTGCTCTGAGTTGTAACGACGGCAAAGAGACAAGAAGGGTTCAACCAGGAGATGCGCACCAATGATGTAGATGCTGCATAGAGAAATGGCAAGGGGAAAGGGGGCAGAAGAGGAAGGGTAGGCAGGAAGTGTGGGGTGGGTGTAGAGGGGGAGACCAATGAATCAACATGTGGCTGGCAGAGGTTCGACGATAACCTACGTGTTGACCACCCAAAGGTCTGCGTCGTCGGGACTGTCGACAAGGTTATACCCATATTCAGCCAGCTGTCCACTCATATACTCGCTATCGCTCTGCACAAGCAACAGCATTCCCAACCAACCTCAAACCCCCTTACCCGCCCCCCCCACCCCATTTTCCGCATTCTGCCCCGCCTCCCCAGTCTCTCCATTCTCCCCACCGACGGATTGACAGAGGACCGATCAGCGAAAGATTGTCAGCAAAAGAGGTGAAGAGATTGCCAGGGACAAACTTTTTTCTTTTTCTTTTTCAAAACCTTACTGGCCATGGTTTAGGGTTGAGGGTTTATGGTTTAAGTTTTTTTTTTTTTTTTTTTTGGCGGAAGGGGGGTAGGAGGAGGAGGAGGGGGGTTGAAAGGTTAGGGTTAAGAGGTTAAACCACGAGTACCTTTCCCCGCTTGAAAATCAAATACGTGCCGGTATATTCTTCGGGAGCCAAGCGCCGTTCGATACTACCGGACCCGAATGGCTGGTGGCGCCATCCAAAATGAGGCCCGCGCCGGTTCGTTTTTTTTTGGCGCGCAGGGTGATTTCAGGCTCGGCATCGATAGCTGAGAAAGGTACTGGTGGTTTAAGGGTTTACAATTTAGCGATTACGGTTTTGGGGGTTTAGGGTTTAGCACTGAGGATTTCAGGTTTTTGGGGTGAGGCGAGAGCTGCCGACAGGGCTACCAACTTGCCATCCTGCCAATTGAAAGACGACTTAGGGCCTCGGTCTACTACTCAACATTTTTGACATGTACCTGCACTGAATTGTGACCCAGATACCTTCCATCTGATCCAACATTTTGAATGTACTGGGAGCATGATGAGTCTAACATTTTTGACATGTACCTGCACTGAATTGTGACCCAGATACCTTCCATCTGATCCAACATTTTGAATGTACTGGGAGCATGATGAGACCCAGCCACATTGACAATGTCGCATAGTTGAGCAATGCCAGTCTAGACGAGTAGCTGAATGAGAGCTAGAAGGATTGACTTACCGTGAGGGCACGGG